GGTATAGGTATAGGTATAGGTATAGGTATAGGTATAGGTATAGGTATAGGTATAGGTATAGGTATAGGTATAGGTATAGATATATGTAGTTATAACTATATGTATGTATAAGTCTACGTCTAGGTATTCGAGGTATCCTCTAGTCAAGTATTTCCCACTTAAACAACCTAGCTTCATTCTCTTCTTTAAGAGTTACTCTTTCTCTTTCTCTCTATCTCTCTCTCGCTCTCTCTCTCTCTCTCTCTCTCTCTCATTACTATAGGTTTCAGTTGAGATTCTTCGCGAATGATCTCCTTCCATATATTGTATGGTTAGCTCTGTAATTTGGCCGACTTCTATGCTGTGCTATAATTTGTATAGATTTCGGCTGGCGGCTGTTTGTTGTTGTGCGGCTGAAAACTAATTTCGCAAACATTTGTCAGCTCATTAACAATTCAATTTGCTGCATAAACGACCTAAACATACAAATAAACAGACGAGCAGAGACAAAGACTTGGGGCGTGGCAGGGCCAAGGGGCTGCCGGTGGCTGCTAATAAGTAGTAGTAGACTTGCCAAACACACGCACGCCCACACACGCACACGCACACGCGTGGACATAAGCACATGAATAACAGTAAATATTCAATTAACAAACCCTTTTGCCGTCCATAGCCCAAGCCCGAGTTATGAGCCATATTTTCAGTTGTGTTTTTTACTTTATTTCCCGTTTTTTTTTTTTTTTTTTGTTTATTTGCTTAGTAGTTTGCTTTGATTTGGCAAAGGTTTAGGTGGAGGCTCAGATCCCGTTTCCAGTTCCAGTTGCTGTTCCAGTTCATCATCACTGCGGGCCTTTTTCTAATTACACAAAAAAGCAGCTGCTTTGAACCCGTTCGCAGGAGGCGGCACAAAGACCAAATAATTATGAATTGTATTTTATTTAATTTTAAATATTTACTAAGCTACCAAAGGAACATTTCGGCCGGCACGCCTCACGCCTCACGCTGCCGTCTCCTGCACCGCCTTGAGCTTGGCCCGTTTCGCCAGCTTCTGCGGCGGCAGCTGCGTGCGCCGACTGCGACGTCGCTCCAGCCAGCGCCGCACGAACGGCGTCAGCAGGCGGGTGTCCAGGGCGTCGAGGTCCGTTTCGCGCAGCAGCAGGCTCGTCACGAGCGCCACGACGATGGTCAGCAGTGCTCCGAAGAGCGTGAAGTACAGGTACGAGATTCGATACAGATGGAAGGGCGCATCCGAGGCGGCGCTGCAAAGCGGGTTGATGGGTAAGTGAATGCGGAATGAAAGTGTTGCGTCTCACCTGATGGCGCCATCTAGCGGCAGGCTGCTGAACGCGCGCCGCTCGCCGGCAAAGGTGTAATTGCAGCCCAGCGTGGAGTAGGGCTTGCGCTGATAGACCAGGTCGCCCGTGACCAGATCGTGCTGTGCCTTAATGCACATCCAGGCCATGACCACGAGCGAGCTGACGCCGCCGAGCAGGGCGCCCTTCGAGTTGACCCAGGGCAGCAGCACGCCGGAGGTGAAGATGCCCAACAGCGGCCCGTTGGCCACGGAGGTGAGCGTGATCGTCAGCTGGAGCACTGCGCCCAGCTTCTCCACGATGAAGACGAGGGCGACAAAGATCACGCCGAAGACGACGACGACGCTGCGCATGACAAACGCCGTCTGCGTCTCGGTCAGCGGCTCGTGCCGAAAGGTCTTCACGAAGTCCTCCAGCACGACCGCCGACAGTGAATTGAGGCCGGTGGAGAGCGAGGAGAGCGCCGCACTGAAGACCCCCGCCACAAAGATGCCCGGCAGGCCCGGATAGGTGCCGAGCGTCTCCATGACCAGCAGCGGCAGCAGCTGATCGTTGCGCTGCGCCAGCTTCGTCTCCAGCGGATCGCAGTCCGCATAGGTCGCATAGATGAGCAGCCCCGTGTAGCCGCAGATGGCCAGAAAGGCCAGCACGCCGCCTATGAACGTCCAGATGGCGATGCGCGCATCCCGCAGCGTCGGCAGCGACAGATATCGCTGTATCATATTCTGGCTGATCGCGTTCGACTTCAGCCAATGGGCCACGCCCCCCAGCACCAGGGAGTAGAAGGTGTAACGCTCGCTGAGATCGAATGTGAAGTTGGGCGACTCGACGCGCGCTGTTTGCTTGGCCCGCTGCCAGACCACGCCCGGTCCCCCGATGTCCATGGTGCCCTTGATCAGCACCAGCGCCATGGCCCCAAACATGATCAGCGTCTGCACCACATCGGTCCACACGACGGCCTTCAGGCCGCCAATGCAGGTGTAGAAGATGCACACGACACACACGCAGGGCGTCACGATGTGGATGTTGACCCCGGTTGCCTGGTTGAAGGCTATCGCCGGCACATAGATCACAATAGGCAGCCACAGGAGCTGCGAGATCATAGAGGTGTGGGAAGTTAGCAGGGGGCGATAGGACGGGAATCATTGTACACTTACCGAGGCCATTATAAACATAATCGAGCCAAAGAGTCGCAGGCTGCGATTGTAGCGCTGCTCCAGGTACTACATAAAATAGATAAAAGCCCCAACACGCTTCAGTCTCAGCTTGATCAAAGAAGAACTATGAACTTACCTTGTAGGTGGATATCAGATTGAGCTCATGGAAGACTGGCAAGAATATGTAGAACATGCAGAGGCCCATGAGCACCAGGGAGCCCATGATGTACAGATACTGGGCACCGTACAGGTAAACCTCGGTGGGTGTGCCCAGCAGAGTGATGCCCGAAATAAAACTGGCGAAAGAGAGAAAGAGACGGCGCTATTAGACAAATTGACGAGAATCAACTTCGTAGACCCCTCGCTTGACCTTCAGTCGGGCTCGTTTCCGCCGACAGCCGAAAAAAAAAGACAGACTGAAAGAAAAACCTCTTTTGGGGAGATCAAAGAGCGTTTTATGCAATTTAATTAACAGCGACACTGTTCGCTGTCGCCAGCGACATACGGGCATAAGTCTCAGCTGTGTGGATGCTACAGTCGTTGCTCTTCCACGAGACATTTGAGAAAATATGACACAATTTGATTTGCTGCGTTGATAGGCAGCGTGCACACAGTTCACACAGTTCACAGTTCCAGCTGTAACTAGCTATAAGTGGAACAATCTCTCAGTTCGGTTCAGCTCGAATTGAGCGCCATGTAGCCCCTAGATCTAGCCCATTGTAATAGTTACTAGTGTGATTAGCTTAACCTAGGAAAACGTATGCAGAAGAGAACTCAAGTCTGGCTTTGCCGAAATATTTTGTTAAGCTTTTTACTATAAGAGCATCCAAAGTGCAGTGTATGATGTATGATATGTGTGTAAGTTTAATAAATCATCAAATTTTGATTATTCAGCTTGAATTATAATACTTTTTTATCGACTGACAGCGTGAACTTTTAATAGCTAGAAAACCAATTCGAATCACATATATATTTATAACGATAATAAGAGGGAAAGTGAAATTAATTAATGATCTACAAGACATTTACTTCCAAAGATCTAATGAAAACTAGTTCTATTTAGCAAAACATTTTAAACTTTGAGCTTATAACTACGCCAAAGTTGATCTTCCGATCTTCCGATTAAAAAGTAATTTTCCTTTTCTGGATATCTTTTACCGCTGAAAGAGAAATCTAGGAAAATCCGACAAATTTTTAACTCTGTACTCAGAACTTAATTTCAATTAAGCAACAATTGATATTTCGATCATTCGAATAGCTCAAGCGATATATGCAAAGCTCTGGCACAACATTTGCTCTTCAGGCTATTAGTGAACAAAGATCGAATGAAGGGAAATTCAGGAAGATCAGAAACATTTTGAGCTCTATACTAAATTTAGATTAAGCAACAGCTGATCTTCCGATCATGTGCTTGAAAGTTCCTAGCAAAGAACTAGATCAACTTTAGCTCATCTGCGATCGCTGATTCCAATTTACAAAAAAGGAAATCAAGTATAATGAGACATTTCGTACTCACCTCGAGATAAGCGACATGGTGATGGGAAAGATTTTCATTTTCCTGCCGCCCACCAGGTAGGAGGCGGCGCTGCTGGCCGCCTCCTCGGCGCCGGTGGCCTTCAGCTGGCGGGACTCGCGGCGCAGCTGCAGGCAGAAGTGGATGCCGATGACGGCGCAGATGGCCAGCATGAGGCAGAAGACCACGTAGTCCGGCCAGCCGAAGCTCTGCAGGCTGATGCGCAGCTCGTCCACATGCATCTTGCGGCACAATAATCACAGCTACAATCAGATCGATCTCTAGCTATATGGATACAACTATCGAATCAGCTGTTGTTGTTGCACACACAGGAAAAAAAAGTGAAGAGGAACGAAACGCAACGAATCGAATCAAATGAAATGCCACCGCGCAGTTGGACGCATGAAGAGTGACTGAGCGATCGCACATGCGGCACATCCCTGGATTGAGTCGGCTTGGTCTTCGGCTCCGCTGGCACAGCTGAGCGTACGGGCGGGCAGCTCAAACTGTCTGTTAAATGCTCATGATTCTGATTCAGAATCGGATTCAGATTCCGATTTAGATTTGCTTAAACAGTCTCGGACTTCGGATGCCAGCTGCGAGCAGCGAACTCGTCGCGCTCGTTATTGTTGTTGAGGCGACTATTACTATAAATGATATAATGGCAATTCGTCTACTATTTTATGAATACCCTGTGCACGCAGTGTGCGCTAAGTGGGTGTGTTGGTTGTGATAGGCTTCTAATCTGTATGTGAGTTATGTTTATATGCTTAACTAGTGTTAGTTTTAAGTAGTGTTAACAATCCCTAAGCGACCCAAAAACTCTTTTCATTTACAGGGTATTTGTTGGTTGATCAACTCAAACTTGACATTTACAGCTTGTGGCGAGAACAGCTGACACTTGAGGCTTATCTAATCACCCGCCCCTCCATTGTCTTCAGGTCGCAATTGGCCCCAAGTCGGCGTCAATTGCATCTCACGAGCGGAACCATAGATCATCCTCATCCTCAAAGGCTGGCAGACATTGTCTTTGGTTTTGGGTCGGTGTCTGGATGGATTGTGGGGTGCCAAATGTGTAGGAGTCGCTGGCGTAAACTAACTTGATTAGATTTAGCGCGCAAATTGAGCTCAGTAATTGGCGCGAGCTCGGCCAATGTGGGCCGACGCACGAGCGAGACGGAGCCACAGAATGTGCCAGATTTAGAATTCGTAATTTGCCAGTGAGACACAGATATAAATATACATATACATATGGATATATATGTACACATATGCAGTCATCTATATACTTTGTTTTAGTCGTTAGGTTTGGAGTCAATTTGACGAAATTGCCCTGGTTATTTTCAGATTAACTGCGATTTCAATCAAAGAATCTGCGGCAATCTCAGAACTTGACCTTATTTTAAGCGCTGCACACAAACTGCACTTGAGTAAGACAAATAAATTATTTTCAATTATTATTCGGTTTTTTTTTTATGAAAATTACTTTTATAGGTAAATAAAAAAAAAAAAAAATTATTTCCATTTTGTGTAAAATTTTGGTTGCTGCAGGTCAGCTAAACTTTGGTCTAGCACCACCGAGAACTGTGCTCCGCCATCTGTACCCCTTTATTTCATAGCGAAAGCTTGTTCAGGTACTCCAGAATAGCCGAGCTGTCGGTGCCCAAATCCAAATCGTTCTCTACATCCCCGTCCGCTGGAAAAATAGAGCCCAGAATGAATATGGTTAGCCCAATAAGTGGGCCTTCCAATGTCAGACTCACCACTGCCAGCAATGCCGCCATTCATGGCCAGCACCGAGGTGGCCAGCTCCTTGAGCGTGCGCTCCAGTTCGCCCAGTTGCTCCAAGTCACTGACGGAGGGAGCTGCCCGGGCTGAGGCGCAAAGGCACAGCAGCAGCAGCGCGCAGCCAATGTAGATCCAGATCGCAGCCATTGGGTTGGGAGACAGAGTTTTGGCCATCATCATCATGTGTCCAGGCTTTTATAGATCGAACAGACTAATCGAGCCGATTTTCCGCTCAATTTACAGCATTAAACACTGACCAAATGCCTGCGCGAGCAGCAAATGAGCTGTGACTCTGATGGGAGATATGTGGAATTAATGTATTACATATGTATGTATATGTATGTGTTTAAAATATATATGTTAACATAGATATGTGATGTATATAGATGCTAAATATAATACGACTTTAAGTACAGCCTGTTGTAGCCTAGAGCGTAAAGTATGGTTTAAGCCTCCTCCACTGGATTCTCTCATATAGAGATTGGAGACTAAACCAGAAATATATTTATTCAAATGCTAGACAAACCTAAGAGTATGACAGTAAATACCCTTTAATATCCAGTACTTACTGCTCCATATACAAGCAAAGTTTTACAGGGTATTCATAATTCACAAGTAAAGTAGCGAAAGGTGTGTATCGTTCACAGCTAAAATATCACAGGGTATTTGCCAGTCTCAACTAATTTATAATTGATTAATTTGAATGCAAAGCTAACAATCTTCATATATGGTCACCCTAAGCGCAGCATTTGGCTGCTCAGCCCGCGGATATGCTACAAATATGAGAAAGAGAGAGAGTGGGAGAGAGAGAGAGAGAGAGAGAGGGAGACTCTGCCGCGATGCAGTTTTGGTCGAATTGCTTATGTCTGAAATTGTTTTAGCATTTCACTGTCTGTCATGCTCTATACTTAACGTTTGCAATGCGTTTTCAGTTTTTTATTTATTTTCATATTTTTTTTTTGCCATTTTTACTACAGCAGCTGCGACTGCAAAAAGCGTCTGCACTTTGCTGCCAATCGAGGCATAAAATGAGCAGCAAGTGCCACTACAGCACCCGGCAGTGTGACAGAGAGGGCCATAGACCGAGCATAGAGAAAGAGAGCGAAACATAGCGAAAAGGTGCAAACATACGCATGCACACATACACACGCACACAGACTCAGGTAAGCTCAGAGTTTTATCAGAATCAAAAATTCCATATGACGCATGCTGAATTTTTGAAATATTACGAATCATATGATAGGGTATAAAAATAGTTGAGAGAACCCGATCTATGCGGTAAAATAAAT